TCGAGTCTATCACAAGGATATCAACATGGAGTTCTCGACTATATATAGTTATTGGCACACCTATGAGAATCTCTATAAGATTTTGATGATTAGGGAATGTAAACACAACTCTCTTACGATGACAATCAATACATACTTCAAAAACACCTAACATTCCATGCCCAATATGACATCATAACCCCTCGAGCCTATCATAAGGAAATCAACATAGAGTTCTGGACTATATATCGTTATAAGGACACCTATGACATTCTCAATAAGATACTAAGATTCCTCTACTCGATATAATATTCCTACCCTCATATAATTTATGATAGGAAATATAATTTCCATCAACAAACTTAGTAGAAATGAAGCAACAAGATGCTCTAGAATCAAATAGAACATGTGTAAGTATATCACTAACAAGAATAATACTTGTAATCACATCACCAGCTTCTTCAGCTTCCCCTTGACCAAGGGATGTGTCAATTTCACCATTCTGATTTGCATTATTGTTCTGCGCTCTCTTCTGCTTCATATTGTACACCTTGCCAAAAATCTTGAATTATTTTCCTTGGTAAGGTATAATTTCTTTGCTAATTACCTATTGATTCAAGGGCTGCACTGGGATAAAATCTTGAGACTTAGGGCAAAAAGTGGCTTTATGATCTATAGCCCCACGAGTTTAACATTTTCCTTGAGCTTTCCAACACCGCTCCATGATGTGCTTATGCTTGTACTTCCCACAGAAGTCGCACGTCAACTTAGCTTCATTCCTTAGTAGTTTCTATGGCATATTCGGATGTTTGGCTTGCCCGCCATTATTGCCTTCTTTGGCTTGCTGAATACCTCTAGCATTTAGATGTTTTCCACAAGTTGTTACATTCATAGTTGTACCTCGTCCTATCTAATGCTGCCATTTGCTTGAATAGTCGAGCTATCTCTAGCACCTCATTGTACATCTCAAATCTGTATGTGATGATATGAGACTTACCTCATAGTTCAGCCCATCCAAAAAATGTTTAGCATGATCCTTGTCAGTTCTCGTCTAACTCGACGCATATCGATCGAGTCTCTTGAACTCTAAGCCATACTCATCCACTGATCGATTCTCTTGAATTAGATCCATAAACTAGCATTGAAATGCCCTTAGTGTCACTTTGGTCATATATTTCTCTAGAAAAATCTTAGTGAGAGTCACCTAAGTTTTCGGTCCATTCGCATGAGCTTCCTCCATTGCCCGTCATGACCTAGCTTGACCACCAAACTAAACCTTCACACGATCCGCATCAGTTATCTTGGCCACATCCAAGATTCCCTTGGTATCCTAAAGCCAATCTTGAGCAAAACTTCACTGAACCAGCTCTAGGAAATCTGTTCCAATCTTTAAAAATCCGCTACGCTACCAGCATGTGCTGCATTCTGATTCCCTTCAACTAAAACCGATGCATTGATTGAGAGCATGCTCAATCTGTTGCTAAAGCAATGTCTCTCGCCTCTCATTGGCTGCTCCCATCTCTTCTACCTCCTTCATGTGAAGCTCCTCTTGTCTTTCTCAAGCTTCAAACATCTCTCATAGAGCCACCAATATCTTGTTTGCATCCTGCCCACTTGCATTCGAGTTCGCCTTTGTGTTGCTTGATCCTGTATCCCTAGCCATGTCTTACGTAGTCTTGAACAATTGTCAAAGAAGGATAAGGATTCCAATGGAGATAAAAATCAATGAATGAATAATGTAATGTATTGTATTAGATGTGATATTATGTTTGATTGGAATGTATATCAAGCCTCGGCTATGATACTCCTAAAATCCTACCTACCAGGTCCTTACCCACAGTCAGGGCATGATAGATTATATAGATCTTAGGGGATTATGACTATTGTGAAGTTCAGCTTCAGGTTAGGGTCTTCTGTCTTCTTTGACTGTTGGGAAAAGGAGCTTAACTATGTTTGAATTTTATTTGAAAGTGGGAATTGGGTAAATCCATTAAGAAATAGGTTAATGAATGTGATTGAGAGGTAAAATGATCACTTTGCTTACAATCGTTAGATTTGATGGGAATATAATCGTTAGATTTGATGGGATATTCCTCCCATCAAATCTAACATGCGTTAACTAGAGAGATCATTTTGTAAGACCCTATAGGATTTGATAGACTATTATGCAGATTTCAAGATTTAAGAGACTATATAGAAATTATGGAAGATTTAATAGACTATTATCTTAAAAAAAAAAATTAAAGGTAGAACTGACCCATTAGTCCAATTTTTTGCTCTATTATCAGTAGAATCAATGTCTTCATAAATCATATAATTATAAGTGTTCAACAAAATAATGCATGAATTTTTATATAAAAAATAATAACTCATGAAATGTTAAAATGTTTGATTAGAAGGAATAAGTAAAAAAATAACAATCGTTCGAGCTCTGCCTTGTGTGCTCATCGCCAGAGATCTCATATGTTCCTCGTGAAGCAAATAAGATGCCGCACCATGGAGCACTATTTAAGAGATATTTGGAGGAGAAATTATGGTTAGAGGAGCTACTTGAAGGACTTTCCCATCTATTGATTGTTGATAAGGCTATTTAAGTGTTCGTGGGAGTCTCTAGTTTGTATAGATCTTTCTTTCAAAATAAATAAATAAGTAAACAAAAGAAAATAAAAAAAAGTTATCCTGCAGTAATTTGGATTTGAAAATTATTATACAAGAATCAGAATGTTGATACCTTAGTTGATTTGACTCGATATTGTTTATATATCAGAGATACATGCATTATGTACATGCTTGCATGGATGGATGCAGTCTTTTTCATTTGTGTATTTGACATCTTTTTTCTCTCTGAGTTTATTTTTTGATTATGCCCATCATGCTTCTAAAACTTAAATAGTACTATTTTTTTAGTTTTGTCACTTAACCCCCAATAATTTTGGTGGGAAAATCCTCAATAATGATTGTTTGTAAGATTTAGTTTCTACAGTGAGATATTTGTAATATTCAAACTTCTAGGGTAGTTTTTTTTGTAATTTTAGAATTTTAGGGTTTCCTTACAATTTTTAGAATTTTCAATTAGCTTTTTGCAATTTTAGATTTTTTAGAGAGTTGTTTATAATTTTTAGTATTTTAATTAAAGGTATTGTTATAGTTTTATCTTTTTTAGAGATGTGTCTATAGTTTTCAAAAAATTTAGGTAGTTGTCTATAATTTTTAGAATTTAAAAGGGTTGTTTGTAATTTTTTGTTTTTTTAAGAGGTCAATTGTAATTTTATATTTTAATGGAGTTATTTGTAATTGTTATATTTTTCAGTGGTCGTTTGTAATTATATGGGTTAACTTGTAAATAGAAATATGATTTGACAACTGTACATAAGCTTTAAAAAAAAAGATCTCTTGTTTTACTCTGATGTAGGAAAAGGTAGGTGTTGTGTGGTAGGTGACGACAATGGTCCGCTCCCTACCCACCTCTCCCACTGTTTTTCCTCCATCTAGAGAAGAAGTATGTATATTCTCCTTGACCTTCTTTTATATATTAAAATGAACAGGGTACCTCACCCTGTTTCTTAGTTTCAAAAAAAATAAGCTTTAAAAGACAATAGTCATCAAATTACAATTATAGGGTAACATTGTTAACCGTAAAATATCAAAATATTTTGGAGGTTTTCTAAAGTTTCCAAGCTCATTAAGAGTTTCAAAAAGTTTTGGGGCTTAGTACCAAGTAACCAAACTTATTGAAGGTTTAGTCAAAGTTAAGCTTTAAAAAAAAATTAAGAAGGGCCACATGACAGTCTTTTAATATGTAAAGCCAATGGTAAACCACTATTTAATCTCTCTTTACATAAATAAAGAAAGGATTGTTATTGTGAATTTAGTGAATTTCAATTTTTTTAGGAGTTTACTAAAATTTAGCCTTAAAAACTTAGGGACAAACACACGACAATTTTTGGGATGTAAGGCTTAGATTAAACCACTAATATCTCTTTCATATGTAAAGGAAAAGGGAATTAAAATATGATTATGATTATGATTACAATTTTTTAAAATAATGCATTGTTATGATTTGATTAGGATTGCTAAAAATGTGATTATAATTTGCTAATAACGGATAGATGAGTTGGGTTACTTATTCCTTGGTCTATTAGATAACTACCTGTCTAGGGATTGTGAAAGATTTAATTTGATGAGAATTCTTAGGTGAATGTAGATTAGTGTCCGCATAGATAGGATAAGGTGTATCCATTTTTCATATAACACATGTCAATTTTCTGTGCTTTAATTTGGAAGCACCACCAATTTTTCTTATATAAAGGAGGAATATCAAAGATATGCGTAATAGATGCTAAGAAATAACATATATTGGATTGCTTGGTTGTGAGGAAATGGTAGCTAGAAACTGGTTTAGCTAGAATTATATTTCACAAAGATATGCATAGTAGATGTTGAGAAAAATTAGAACTTATAGTTTCAAAAGATTGAGAAAACATTGTAGTCAATTTAATGGGAGAAAAATAAGCAATTTTGTCAAAAATAAATTTAAAAATAAAAATAAATATCACCTCGTTATAAACCATATACTTTTTGTGCCAATTATTTTCAACCACTGAATTTGTATTATAAATATAATTTTCAGAATAAAACTATAGATATTAAATTTGAAGCTGGTTTTCAGCAGCAAAATGTTCTTGTTGTAACAGTACATGCATTTCAGTTTTCAATATAGCGTATGACAGAAACATACAAATACATTGTAATTAAAATCATAATTTAGCAAAATCTGCACAATGATTTTAGAAGTTTCTAGAAAAAATTATGTTATCACTATAAGTTTCCAATTTAGGCATTCTTTTGGGGTTTTTTATTTTACTGATTCTCCTATCTATTTAGTAAGGAGTAATTTCTTTAAACCCACAGGAAAATAAATGATATTCCGGGCTAATAAAGGGAGCAGGGTTGCAAACAGATGGCCCATTAAAAAATAAATAAATTAAATGAAGGGTAAAATGGTAAATCAATCACCAAACCTTCTTCCTTTGGTCTGCTCCCCTCCATTGTCTTCGACCTCCATCCAAAAGAGACGCATCTCTATTCTATGAGTCTTTAAACTTTGATTCCTCCGCCCCTCAATTTCCCCCCCAAAGCTCTTTCTGGGTTCTCTTCATCCCCTCCCAAATCATCCGAAAATGGCTCTCTCCGCTTTCAAATCCACGACCAAACGAGGAACAAACCCAAATGGGCCGGATCCATCGAAACAAGGCAACAAGGGCGCAAATCGTCGGTCTAGGAGCGTGAGCGCAGTGTCAAGGGCTAATGGGCCATCCTCTTCTAAGTCTTCTTCATCGAATTTGTCGGTCTCCGACGAGTTCTTGATTAAGAGGGATAACCCACTCTACTGCTGCTCTAGCTCCTCTTCTTCATCGTCGCCTGACGAGGTTCTAGAAGGTTCTGGAAGGAGAGGGAGGTCGTTTTCGAGGAGCTCGGAAGTGGGGAAACAGGGTTCAGGGGGCTGCAGGAATGAGAAGACGGTGAGGAGTCTGTCGAGGGTTGACCCGGGGAGGAGGAGGATGAGGTCGGTTTCCAGAGGGCGCTATGGGAAATTGGAGGTATATTGATTTTTTTTTCACGGTGTTTGTTTACTTGAATGATATTAGTAGAATTTGAAGCCTTCTAAACATGTGGAGATTTTTTTTTTCAGTAGTTTGTTTCAGAAGGGATATTTACGCATTTCGATTGCTGTAAAAATAGTTCAAATTGATCAATTCTGAATAAAAGTCTACTCGGACTTTGGTTAAATTTTGGGATTGGCTACGATAACCTTTTAAAGTTTGTTTCGCATGGTACAAATGTATTATTGATGATGTATTTTGCATCTAAAATTTTCTGATACGTAAAATGCACGAAGAGAAGATCGAATATTGTAGAGGTTATAGTGATGGAAAAGGAATATTTGGTTATGCAATATGGCTGGAGAAAATATTCTCTGGAATCAAGACGTTGAAATTTGAGATATACCACATATGTGAGTATAAATCTTATAACTTGACGAAACTTGAAATAGAAATGTCGTTCAAATTTATTTGGAACATCAAAATCTGATGGACTTTGTTGAAACATAAGTTGACGTCAACTACTAAATGCAAAATTTATGGTGGATTAGTGAAAATTGAGAGACAAGATAACATGCAAAACTCTTGAAAAACAAAATCAGATGTTTTGGAGCTTGCGGAGGAAAGATTATAAGAAGCATCTTAACTATTTGGTTGAATCGCATGATCTGCAAGCATCCAAATCCCTATGCCTCCAAATCCCTTGGCCTATGAAGTTGTTTTGTTTTAAGTTGTTTGGTTCATTTAATTTTATGCATTCTAGTTCACATAGTCTGGGGTATTTTTGGCACGAATTAAAGTCACTATATAGGCGCCGCGCAGATAGTATCCGTGTTAGTTCTTGATATTTGAGTTTTATTTCCTATACATGTCGAGCGTAATTTTTCCAGAGTAAATGCCTAGAAACTAAGGCCTAATACTTTGACCTTTATTTCTTGGGTAGAGGATCAATCCAGATTGATCATTTTGATAGGGAAAAAGTTATGACTATCTGCTATAATATAACTTGCATAAAGAAAAGTGCAAATGGTTTGCGGATGGTTATTGTCGAATTGATCGTTTTCCAAGCATGATAATCATTTGATTGATTATTGTTTAGAAACATGTAAAGACAATGATTTGTTTTAAGTTCATTATTTGTTATTTTGAATTATATGATGTCAAATTTCTGATTGTTGACTTCGTTTACAGCATCAGATACTTTTTCTTTTTGAAGAAAGGTTGTATCCAAGTCTTGAACCTAGGACCTGCCTTGTGATCATGGTTTACTAGTGCCAGGCCTTAATACTACGTTATTGGTCTATAAGGAAACACTAAACTGCTAAAAAAAACCAAGCCTTTTTTATTGTCTATGTATCTTTAGTTCTATTTTAACATCACAAATAATTGCCTTGTGATCACGGTTTAAAAACATCCAAACCTTAAACCAAAATTTCTGAAGATCATGGTTACTGTTGTTACTGCTGTTGATTGAAATTTCACTTACGCCATTATCTCAATTAAGTGGTGGGGAAATCCTAGCTTAACCAAAGGTTGTTTCACGATTCTGAATTTCTTTGATTTAACAGACTGATGTAGGACAACGTTACAACTCTATTTCTAGTTTGAGAAGTAATGAGGTTGGTAGAAGTACTACATCCAAGGGTCAGAGACAAAGTGTTGTAACTGATACAGAATTTGATGCAAAGGAAAAAGCAAGGAATTTACAGAAGTGGACAAGTCGGCATCCTATTTCAGGATCCTGGGATGCATCCAGTGTAAGCTTCATATAGAACCTTTAGTACATAAAGTATGTGTGTGTGTGTGTGTGTGTGCGTGTGCGTGCGTGCGTGCAAGGGTATTCTATCATATAAACTGATGTGGTTGAATCTCAACCAAATGAATAAAGGGGGAGAGAAAATCCCTTATAACCACACTTGGCTGACCTTCAACTGCATCATTGTATATGTGATATTATACCCATTAATCTCTCTCTCTCTCTCTCTCTGATGCGCGCATGCTTGCGGGCTTGTGTGCGTGCATGCGCACGTGCAACTCTTTTCAGCAGTTGCAACTTATAATGCAAATTTCTTGCTTGCAACTCTTTTCTAGTCATGTTCGCAAGGTCAGAACTGGGAAGATGGGATTTCAACAAGTTCTTTTTCTGAAGCAGAAGAGACACTTGCTTCAGAGGTATGTGAATATATGAAATTGCCTATAATTTTAATTAATTGGCATTTTTTGCAAGATATGCACCATGGACGGAAAAAAAGTATATAGGCCTTTCTGTTGGTTGACAGTTTTCTTTCTCTTTCAAGTGGATTTCCCTCCTAATTGTTGCTCTTTAAACTTTTCAGAGGGACAATCCTCCAATTGATGTTGGTTCTGGTGCAATTTATGAAACTGTTAGATCCGAAGTATGTCGTGCTGTTTCTGAGATTTGCGATAACCTTGAGAATGTAAGTGACTTTGTCTTTAGCCAACTTTAGTGGCCTCTTCTTGGAAATTAATTATGGATTCGATGCACATATTACCGTAAACTCTTTGCATATGTTCTATTATGGCATAATTGCATATGTTTTACTTTTGGTGCTTTCTGTTGATGAATTTTAGAGCTGATCATGACATTTGCCTGAAGGATGAAACCTTCGTTGTTCACGTCCTATTAATATGGGTGCTTAGGTACTCTAGAGTAGAGGTTTAACTTATTCAAGCACGATGAAGTAATATCTGAAGGAGAAGAATACAAAGTTAAGTAGGTTGAGAATCTGCGTATATTATATGCATAAACTGTCATCAAAGAGTTGGCCCAAAGGAACAAATAGAAGAGTCGAGAATGTTGCATCAGGGTCGTTAGTCACGACAGTTGCTATAGTGACAATTTAAGAAATAATTACAATCTCTGTAATCTTATCCTAACTTGTGACCCTATCCGTTTTATTTCTTACACTGTATATTTATTTGGCCACCAGCTAATAAGCGACTTGTAATGGCACCCTAAAATTTTCCATTTAGAGTCATGATGAGTCGCCACATGTGTGTCCCAAGTATCAGTCTTAAGAGAGTCAACTGTGTGTATAAGTATAAAGTAGTTCACTCTTTTATAGCAGTAAAAATTCATGGGTAAATTTGGCAAGATGAGACAAGCTCAATGTGGCTTTGTAATTTTCTTAGCAAAAGGAGAATACAGTGCAATTGTCTGGGACGCCACACAGATATAAAATGTAAGAAGTAAAAGAAAAGAAATGCGTTAAATCTTTTACTGCTACCTAATTAAACACTTATGATTTTTACTTAATGTTACTCTTGGTGTAGTGTAAATTGAAGCTTATGCAGATATTTTCTTGTTCCAACCCGATGATTGCCATATTGAGTTGTTTCATCTAATATATTTATGTGCCATGCATTAGGTTTTAGATAACTACCTATATTATACACAACTAAATGAAGTTATGTATTATTTTATTGACTATGTCCCGTTTTCATTTATTACATCTCCTCTTTCCTTTGGTTTTGACTGATGAGCTCAAAGTTTTTTAACTAGAGTGCACAAAATCAAAAATAAATTGATAGCAAAAAGTTAGAAACAACTTGGGAGAGTTCGAAAGGAAGTTTATGCATGCGATAATTTATTGCATCAAATATTGAGGTGGAGCAAAATGGTCGAGAAAAAAAAGAAGCAAGAATTTTACTTTTTTCAGTAAGTATGAGATGGCTGCATCATAATCCATCTGTACTTTTTGTGGAATCTTGACAATAGTCTTTCGGCTGATATTTATGCTGCAACTGTTATTTCACTGCTTTGTCTCCTGTCTTGAGATGTGGGGAACTTCAAGTTGTACTAATAAATCAACCATCAGTTGTCAAAAGGGGAAGTATGCTTCTTGGTTTGGCAAAGTGTAGGCTCCAGGAAAAAAGTATAAGCTTCATTATCTTTATCTTTTGATTTAAAAATGATATAGCCACCTAGAAATCACATGCACACACACAGAATTAGCTGTGTGATTTTCTAATATCGAACGTGCCTTCAATTGGGCGTTAGCAAAGATCCTTGTGAAAGAATCTTTCCATAGTTTGTCAGTACCTATTGAGTTTCTAGTTGAAGCACTTTTTTTATGATTTCTGCCGTAGCGCATATGATGTGTAATATAATCTCACAGTATCTTTTCTTTGTTTATTTTTTAATGTTTTTATGCTAGAAGAAAAAGCCTATGCCGTGAGGTCATATTTCGGAGACGAGGCTTTCTTATGTTGTGTACTTTATCCATAAAAGATCTCCAAGAAAACTTTTTAAGACTATTAAGTCAGTTATGTAAGAGAGTTATTTATCATATTGCTTGTTTGCTTTTCATTGTTACTGGGTTGCCTATGTCATGTGATCATGTCAAATTTCATAGTCAATTTTGTTCATTTTTAATGCATTACATCATCATTTTTAATCAGGCCATTTGGAGAAAGCAACCTTCTATATTCAGCACAGAAAATATTGAGGATACCTCACCTGAATTTGTGAACACTGATGAGATAGTTACACATATGAGAAGTGAATATGTATCAAGGCTCGAGCAGGTCTGCTATATTTTATGTATAACTATACATCCATCTTTGTTGATATATTCGGATGAAGGAGATTTTATTTATTCACAGGCCCAGGAACGTGCAAGGAAACTTCGGGCTGACTTAGCTATCGAAGAGCAGCGTGAGCAAGAACTTAGTAGAATCCTAGAGGAAATAGCTCATGCTCCAAGAAACTCCGACTGCCGAAAATCTCATCCAAAGAGAAAGGTAAAATTTGTCTTCAACATTGGCCAGAAAGTGACTTAGGCTTCTTGAATATTTTAAAATGTTGAACGTTGACACTCAACTTGCAATCTTTGTCTCTAGACAAGCATAGAGCGCCAAAGGATGTCAAGGCGTTTGGCAGAAGAAGCAATGAACTATTTTGATGAATGTGTGTCATTATCAACTTTTGATAGCTCAGACTTCTCATCATTAGAGGATCCACAGCCCACCTCAACTATTGGTGTTTCTATAGCTACTATGGGCAGCAGTAGATTTTCCCCAAGTGAAGGGTCAAAAGATCACTCGGTTTCTGATTTCACTAATCATCATGAGGTCTGACTTTCGACTGTGATGATCTGTTTCTGTTTTTATTTTTCTTGGTAACTCAAATTTATATTAACAATTCTACCTCAGATTTTTCCATTCTGAATTTTTGTTTGGACATGAACGAGGGGTATGATAGCAAATGTAAGGACAGTAGCAGCAACATCAAGCCAAGTGGTAATAATAACCATGAATAAAAACATAAAAAAAAACTCTAAATCTACTCACCAATAGAGAAGTGTTATCTTCCTTTAGTTGGGGTATTCAGATCTCTAGCCTTGAACAAATTGGCTTGTAACGTTTGCTGGCTTGTTTCCATTCTCACATTTACTTTAATTTCTCGTCAATAGAACATATAAATAGATAATTGAAACATGGAGAACTCTATAAGACATAGATTGGTTTAATGAGACACAAAGTTGACTGAGAGCTATGGTCTGTAACAAACTAGCATAGACGGAAGTGGAACTTGAGAAAGGATTAGGATGTGAGTTACAAATTTTATACTCCAAACATAAGCTAATACTAATATCTAGACAGCAGTGCATAGTGTTTGATTCTTTATCATACACATCAAGGCTCCATGGATTTTCTGTTGAACTCACCACCTTACTGTCTGTCACCTCCTTACTAAATTTTACCGAACTTGTACCCTAACTTTTTCACATAATTTTGGGTAAATCTCACAGAACAATAGCCTCAAAACTTTCTAAATTAGAGAATGCTACAATGATTTTTTTTGGCTAAAATAACACATTTGACAATTTAGTTAATTTAATTTGTCATATGAATTAGTACATGACAGGTTTTAGTCAATTTAATCTTTCTGTACTTTTTACTTTTTTACTTTTACTGAGAGTTTTTTGAGTTAGGATTCGTATGGTATTAATAAGGATAGTTTATACCTGTTATCCTTCATGTTAACGATGTTTGTAACAATTTCCAATAGTTGATGGTTTCTCTATAATGGTAAAAGCTCCTGGTAGTTTTCTCTAATTCTCACAAAGTTTCAGAGGTCCTATGAATTTTGCGCTTAGGGTTAATTGCGAATAGATCCTCTGTACTATCACCCAATTGTGGAAAGACCCCTTGTAGTTCTATTTGTGCAGTTAAAGCCCCTCAGTGAATTTTTTTGACTCAGTAAAAAAGAGTTTTGACGGGCAGAACCCTTGTAGTTCTATTGGTGGGGATAGACCCCCAACTGGTAATTTTTTTTAATTCTTAAAAGAGTTGAAAAAGTTCACTGAGGGGTCTATCCGCGTTTGGGCAAATAGTACTGAGGTCTGCACAGAATGAATAGCAGGGGGTCTATCCACAATTGGGTGGTAGTCAGGGGGTGTATTCTCAATTAACCCTTGTTTTAATTTCATAGAAGCCATAGCAATAAACGTAACATGATACCATTATTTTGGTTGCAGGAGTTGGATAACCAGACTCAGTGCTCACATAGCATCCAAGAATCTGATTTAGCTCTCAGCAGTTGCAGTAGCAGCAAGGCTGGGAGCCTAATACACGCAAATGGTAGCCACAACGGTCTCCTTTATAATTTTCCTCAGAGTGAAGATATGCAAGAATCGTTTGCACGAGACAAAATGAAAGCTGTTGGAGCCCATGATATCAGACATTATATACAGAAGTTTGAGAAGGGACAAAGGAAAGACAGGTTGGAGAATGTGAATGTGAAGTCAAGATACAACCCTGAAGAATATGATTTGAGTGCTAAATCTGAAAGCTTGGTGTTTGATCATCTGATCCTTAGAAACAGGATAGACTCTGGAGGTTTGCTTCTCTGCAACTTGAGAATCTTCTGACAGTTAAATTGTTAGTGTATATGATCTGATTCGGGTTACCTTGCAATTTCATGTAAAGTTGATTAATGGCATGTACGTTATGTTCATATTTATTATGTTTTGTAATTTATAATTACAAGAGAATTGCTACTTGGATTTACAGTAACATACATGATTGGCCACTGAAATTAGGGGTGTCCAAAAAGCCCGGCCCGGCCCGGAAACCCGGGCCAAGTCCGGGCTCCGGACCGGGCCCGGGCCGGCTCTTTGGTGCCCGGCCCCGGCCCGGCCCGGTCCGGAATAGTGAATTTTTTTTTTATATTTTTTATATGTATTATATATGTATAATATATGTATATATAAATATATATAATATGTATAATATATGTATATATAATATATTTTTATATATGTATAATATATGTATATATAATATATTTTTATATATGTATAATATGTCATATGTGTGTATATTTTTATATATGTATAATATATGTATATATAAATATATATAATATGTATAATATATGTATATATAATATATTTTTATATATGTATAATATATGTATATATAATATATTTTTATATATGTATAATATGTCATATGTGTGTATATATATACTCTCTCTTAGTATATAAGTATATATAAGTATACTCTCTTTTATATAAGTATATATATGTATAAGTATATATAAGTATACTTTCTCTTATATAAGTATATATAAGAATACTCTCTCTTATATATGTATAATGTATGCATGTATGTATATATATACTCTCTCTTAGTATATATGTATATATAAGTATACTCTCTCTTATATATGTATACTCTCTCTTATATAATATATTTCTATATATGTATAATATGTCATATGTGTATGTATATATATACTCTCTCTTAGTATATAAGTATATATAAGTATACTCTCTCTTATATAAGTATATATATGTATAAGTATATATAAGTATACTTTCTCTTATATAAGTATATATAAGAATACTCTCTCTTATATATGTATAATGTATGCATGTATGTATATATATACTCTCTCTTAGTATATATGTATATATAAGTATACTCTCTCTTATATATGTATACTCTCTCTTATATAATATATTTCTATATATGTATAATATGTCATATGTGTATGTATATATATACTCTCTCTTAGTATATAAGTATATATAAGTATACTCTCTCTTATATAAGTATATATATGTATAAGTATATATAAGTATACTTTCTCTTATATAAGTATATATAAGAATACTCTCTCTTATATATGTATAATGTATGCATGTATGTATATATATACTCTCTCTTAGTATATATGTATATATAAGTATACTCTCTCTTATATATGTATACTCTCTCTTATATAATATATTTCTATATATGTATAATATGTCATATGTGTATGTATATATATACTCTCTCTTAGTATATAAGTATATATAAGTATACTCTCTCTTATATAAGTATATATATGTATAAGTATATATAAGTATACTTTCTCTTATATAAGTATATATAAGAATACTCTCTCTTATATATGTATAATGTATGCATGTATGTATATATATACTCTCTCTTAGTATATATGTATATATAAGTATACTCTCTCTTATATATGTATACTCTCTCTTATATAATATATTTCTATATATGTATAATATGTCATATGTGTATGTATATATATACTCTCTCTTAGTATATAAGTATATATAAGTATACTCTCTCTTATATAAGTATATATATGTATAAGTATATATAAGTATACTTTCTCTTATATAAGTATATATAAGAATACTCTCTCTTATATATGTATAATGTATGCATGTATGTATATATATACTCTCTCTTAGTATATATGTATATATAAGTATACTCTCTCTTATATATGTATACTCTCTCTTATATAATATATTTCTATATATGTATAATATGTCATATGTGTATGTATATATATACTCTCTCTTAGTATATAAGTATATATAAGTATACTCTCTCTTATATAAGTATATATATGTATAAGTATATATAAGTATACTTTCTCTTATATAAGTATATATAAGAATACTCTCTCTTATATATGTATAATGTATGCATGTATGTATATATATACTCTCTCTTAGTATATATGTATATATAAGTATACTCTCTCTTATATATGTATACTCTCTCTTATATAATATATTTCTATATATGTATAATATGTCATATGTGTATGTATATATATACTCTCTCTTAGTATATAAGTATATATAAGTATACTCTCTCTTATATAAGTATATATATGTATAAGTATATATAAGTATACTTTCTCTTATATAAGTATATATAAGAATACTCTCTCTTATATATGTATAATGTATGCATGTATGTATATATATACTCTCTCTTAGTATATATGTATATATAAGTATACTCTCTCTTATATATGTATACTCTCTCTTATATAATATATTTCTATATATGTATAATATGTCATATGTGTATGTATATATATACTCTCTCTTAGTATATAAGTATATATAAGTATACTCTCTCTTATATAAGTATATATATGTATAAGTATATATAAGTATACTTTCTCTTATATAAGTATATATAAGAATACTCTCTCTTATATATGTATAATGTATGCATGTATGTATATATATACTCTCTCTTAGTATATATGTATATATAAGTATACTCTCTCTTATATATGTATACTCTCTCTTATATAATATATTTCTATATATGTATAATATGTCATATGTGTATGTATATATATACTCTCTCTTAGTATATAAGTATATATAAGTATACTCTCTCTTATATAAGTATATATATGTATAAGTATATATAAGTATACTTTCTCTTATATAAGTATATATAAGAATACTCTCTCTTATATATGTATAATGTATGCATGTATGTATATATATACTCTCTCTTAGTATATATGTATATATAAGTATACTCTCTCTTATATATGTATACTCTCTCTTATATAATATATTTCTATATATGTATAATATGTCATATGTGTATGTATATATATACTCTCTCTTAGTATATAAGTATATATAAGTATACTCTCTCTTATATAAGTATATATATGTATAAGTATATATAAGTATACTTTCTCTTATATAAGTATATATAAGAATACTCTCTCTTATATATGTATAATGTATGCATGTATGTATATATATACTCTCTCTTAGTATATATGTATATATAAGTATACTCTCTCTTATATATGTATACTCTCTCTTATATAATATATTTCTATATATGTATAATATGTCATATGTGTATGTATATATATACTCTCTCTTAGTATATAAGTATATATAAGTATACTCTCTCTTATATAAGTATATATATGTATAAGTATATATAAGTATACTTTCTCTTATATAAGTATATATAAGAATACTCTCTCTTATATATGTATAATGTATGCATGTATGTATATATATACTCTCTCTTAGTATATATGTATATATAAGTATACTCTCTCTTATATATGTATACTCTCTCTTATATAATATATTTCTATATATGTATAATATGTCATATGTGTATGTATATATATACTCTCTCTTAGTATATAAGTATATATAAGTATACTCTCTCTTATATAAGTATATATATGTATAAGTATATATAAGTATACTTTCTCTTATATAAGTATATATAAGAATACTCTCTCTTATATATGTATAATGTATGCATGTATGTATATATATACTCTCTCTTAGTATATATGTATATATAAGTATACTCTCTCTTATATATGTATACTCTCTCTTATATAATATATTTCTATATATGTATAATATGTCATATGTGTATGTATATATATACTCTCTCTTAGTATATAAGTATATATAAGTATACTCTCTCTTATATAAGTATATATATGTATAAGTATATATAAGTATACTTTCTCTTATATAAGTATATATAAGAATACTCTCTCTTATATATGTATAATGTATGCATGTATGTATATATATACTCTCTCTTAGTATATATGTATATATAAGTATACTCTCTCTTATATATGTATACTCTCTCTTATATAATATATTTCTATATATGTATAATATGTCATATGTGTATGTATATATATACTCTCTCTTAGTATATAAGTATATATAAGTATACTCTCTCTTATATAAGTATATATATGTATAAGTATATATAAGTATACTTTCTCTTATATAAGTATATATAAGAATACTCTCTCTTATATATGTATAATGTATGCATGTATGTATATATATACTCTCTCTTAGTATATATGTATATATAAGTATACTCTCTCTTATATATGTATACTCTCTCTTATATAATATATTTCTATATATGTATAATATGTCATATGTGTATGTATATATATACTCTCTCTTAGTATATAAGTATATATAAGTATACTCTCTCTTATATAAGTATATATATGTATAAGTATATATAAGTATACTTTCTCTTATATAAGTATATATAAGAATACTCTCTCTTATATATGTATAATGTATGCATGTATGTATATATATACTCTCTCTTAGTATATATGTATATATAAGTATACTCTCTCTTATATATGTATACTCTCTATATATGTATATATAAATATATATAATATGTATAATATATGTATATATAATATATTTTTATATATGTATAATATATGTATATATAATATATTTTTATATATGTATAATATGTCATATGTGTGTATATATATACTCTCTCTTAGTATATAAGTATATATAAGTATACTCTCTCTTAAACCCGGGCCAAGTCCGGGCTCCGGGCCGGGCCCGGGCCGGCTCTTTTGTGCCCGGCCCGGGCCCGGCCCGGCCCGGAATAGTAGTTTTTTTATTTTTTTATTTTTTATGTATTATATTATATGTATATATAATATATTTTTATATATGTATAATATATGTATATATAATATATTTTTATATATGTATAATATGTCATATGTGTGTATATATATACTCTCTCTTAGTATATAAGTATATATAAGTATACTCTCTTTTATATAAGTATATATATGTATAAATATATATAAGTATACTTTCTCTTATATAAGTATATATAAGAATACTCTCTTATATATGTATAATGTATGTATGTATGTATGTATGTACATACT